TTTAGTATTCATGAGGCCGTAGAGTAGACAATTTATGAAATAGTAGTTGGGGTGGCAATATCGACGCGTGGCCCATTACGTGGGTGTCCGACTTAGAATCATTGGCGCCAACAACCAGAAGAACGAAAAAGAACCAGTCTTCAGGTATCCTAAATGTAGGTATAGGATTACTAACGAAGTTGACTACGAATAGTCTTATCTAGGGTAAATGAGCGTGTATATATAATGCTAGTGGCTCTAGATGGCTCAGTGGCTCACCGGTGAGCCATACCAGTTCACGGGTCCATTTTTAGTGCTTCAACAAGGCTAATCCAGTCACGTGATCATTTTACCAATCCCCTAACGTCGCTGGCTTGCATAACGGCCATGTTCGTAACACTCAAGCCCCTCACTCGCATTCGTAAACATACAAGACAGACCCATCTTCATAGATCCAAATCTCCACAAGATAACACCGGCGGTCCTTGATTGCCCCATCTTTGTTATCACTCTGTTTGGCGATTCCCATGGCTTGGTGGGAATAATATTTGGGAATGACTCTGAGGAGCGAATCGGCGATTTGATGCCAAGAGGGTCGATTTTTGGCGCGTTTTCACCCACAATTCCATCTCTTGCCATGAATAGTTGTAAAATCGCATCAATTGCATCGAATCACTCACCGACCTCGCCGTCGCCTCATAAAATGATTTGTATAGCCTTTTTTTGGTGTTTTGATAACTCCTCCTCTTTCACGTGCTAAAATGACTGACATTACGCAATGGACTGCGCCAGTTGGGTGCGTTGAGCATTATCGAGGCATTCTTGAGCGCCACGTTAATGCGCAACCGCCTCATTGGTGTCAGGAACCTGCTGTCGGAGAGGTCTTTGATAATAGAAAGGATGCGGAGGTTCGCTTGCAATTATGGGCGCTCATCGCAGGGTTTGATGTTGTTTGTAAAGGCGGTGGATCCTCCAAGGTTCCAGGAGGCCTTTATCGGTGTATACACCACGGTAAGGAGTCGAGGAATGACCATGGGCTCGAGGATCGAGTGACGCGTAATCCTAAGGGCAAAATCACCTCATTGCGTAAGCGTGAGAGCACTAAAGTGTACCCAACTAACTGCGATTGGCGCGTTAACCTTGCATTCATCATGATCGATAAAAAGGATGAGTCTCAGGGACGACAATGGACCTTTACGAAGGTCTCACTCACTCACACAGGTCATCCCTTGACCGCCAACCCTTTTGCCGCCTATCTAAATCACCGTAAAAGGCTTGCGGAGTGGAAGGACTTGATTGCAAAGGCCACAGCTCATCGTAGAGCCAAAGTCGTGTATTCCAGCTCAAGGAGGATCATAGAGAGTGAGGAATTCGCCCTCCACCTGTCCGTTAAGGAGTATTACAACACAATGCGTAAAAAGCCTGTGGACAAGGATAATGATAAATCAATCATTGGTCTCGTTCATGAGATTCAAGAGAGTAATTGGCACTGCGAATTTAGGAGTGAGGTTTATGAGGATGAGGAGGGTAAGGTCGTCGGCAGAAAACTCATTCAAGTGTGGTTTACGCACCCAAAATTAATGTCCTATACAAAGAGGTTTGTTAGCGACTTCATCATTTACATTGACGGCACCTTCAACACCAATAAATTAAAGATGCCACTCCTCATCGCTGTCGGTCAATTAAACAGTGGTAAAACCTTCCCTGTGGCCTTTTCCTGGTGTCCTGAAGAGGATGAGGCGTCATACACCTTTTTTTTGGCAGTGCCTCAAGGATTACTGTTTTGACGCACCAGGAGAACCTTCCTGCGCTCCTCCACGAGTCCTCATGAGTGACCAAAACGCAGGCATTGCGGTATCAGCCCGGAAGCTTTTTCCGGATATAAAGCACCAGTTTTGTGACTGGCACGCTGTTCAGGCAATGGAGAAAAAGATGAGGGAGTTTGGTACACCGACACTGGAGATTCGAACGATTCATCAGCCGAGGGCCTGGGATTATATCATGTCAGCAACAGAAGAGGCTTTAGAGGATAATCGACGACGATTTGGTGACGGCGTTAGCACTCAATTCATGCGTTACTTACAAGAGACTTGGATTCCAAAGGAGCACCGAGTAATCCGCCTTTACACTGTTAAAAACGCCAACCTTGGATCCACGTCAAGCCAGCGAAGTGAGTCCTATCATGACAGTGTTAGAGAGTTAACCAACGGCCAATTATCACTGGAAGAGTCAGTAAAAAGGCTCATCATTAAGATCAATTCAGTAATTAAAGACATTGACCAGGACGAGGCCTCATTATCCGCCAGTTACTCGCGACTCACCCAAGGTCCTGCCTTCTTACAAATAAGGTTACAGGTGTCGAATTACGCGATTTCACGCCTAGAAAGAGAGTGGAATACATTGGATACAATATTAAGAGGAGGAGGAGACCTTAATACACTAGAAATTGGCGTCTGTGAGTGTGAGATCCTCCTGCGGTTTGGCATTGCCTGTCGACACTGGTTAAAGAGGGCTTATTTACAAGGTTCCGCCATTCCAAAGACCCTTATTCATCCTCGTTGGTGGCTAGGTGGAGGCCCCATTTACTCATCTAATTGGGTGCCTTTTTATCCAATGACTGATGCTCAATTAATGCCGCCGCCGCCGCTGTTAGCACCAGTGACGATGATTCACCAGGAGACGGTGAATCAACTGGCAGAGATCCGAGGTCTCCTTAATCCGCAGGAAGCTCATCAATTGGCGGTGGACGCCGCAAACGCAGAGCGTCAAATTGCTCATTTTGAGACTCTCCAGCTACAAAGCCTTTTACGCGCGGCGCAACGACGTTATCAAATGCAACAGGCACCACTCGACGCGCCAGACCCTCGCCGACAGGGTTATTTAGTAAAGCGCAGTACTCACGGACCTACAAATCAACGCGCATTACTTGCTAATGAGGTTGACGAGCGACAACGCCGCCAAAATCGATCAATACAGCTACAACAGGAGCGTCATGAGGCATCGCAGTTAATTAATCAAGAGATGGAGCAGTCATTAGATCGCGCGGCGACAGAGCAACAACCATTTAATAAAGAGGAGGATACTATAGAGTTTGTTAGGCGCGCGCCTCTTCAGGACATCCCTATGAGCCCTAGGGTCATTTCTACAACTCCTCCTCCACCTGAGGTCATCCCTACGAGTCCTCCTCCACCAGAAACCTTGGATTTAGTAATCCGTGATCACCCCTGAGAGGCCTCGGCTGCGGCGCGAGCCCTCGCCAGAGGGTTCTCCGCTGCAGATTACACCAAATGAGCCTCCGGCGTCAACTGCGCCAGCAGCACTTGGCAGAGCAAAGAGACGGAGGAACCACACTGCTAAATTTAACCAGGGTCGACAACAGGGGTTCATTCCTGAGTCCCAGGAGCGACAGTGAAATGGAGCGGAAGAACCTTAATCCGGAGGCCCTGGAGTGGCATCAACGCCAGGTTTGACGCCGACGAGGTCTCACGATGACAGTGTGGTTGATAAATAGATGAATAATGGCAGGATATGCAAAATGGGTCAATTTCACGGCCAAATTAGGCCTAGTTTACATTACTTGGCATTCGCTCGCAAACTCATTCGCTCCGCCCGTTCGCTCCTCAGAGTCATTCCCTAATATTTTGCAGCTGCACTTGTGACTTTGAGAAATTCCTCATCGCTGCTAGATTCATTGAGGGTACCAACGGCGCTGTGCAAATACTCCTCTGGCTTATAGTCTCTCTTGAAGGCTTTTTTGAATTTGAAAGCAGCCACCATTGTCGTGAGCACCAACTAAGACTTGGGGCGGACTTATAGAGGCTTGGTGGTGGATAACGGCTCGTTGGGAATTAACAGGTGGGCAACAAGTAAAGATATCTATTTTCCCTTCCTCACCAGCGAAGTCAAGTGTGGCAAACAAGGACTTGACTTGGCCGATCGACTAAACACGCACAGCATGACTATTGCGCTCCGAGGCATCGTGGACCTTTATCGGAAAGCGAACCGTTCATCAGAAGTGCATAGGAGGGCCCTTGGGTTTTCGATCTCCCACGACGACAACAGTGCACGCATATATGCCCATTACCCCGAACTTGATGGCGACAACACGACTTACTGGTGCGATAGAATCAAGGAGCTCAATTTCGGGGATGGCAAAGGGAAAGAAAAGTGGAAATGTCACCAATTTACACTTAATGTCTGTCAGTATTTCGCACTACCGTTGCTCGAGCGGCTCAAGACTGTTATTGATCAGCTCCCGGACCCGGATGATACCCAGGCACTCGAAGCAATTGCCACTCTTGATGACATCAGTTTCCTGAGTTCGCAGGATGATACTAGCGCCCCTGAATTCCAGGATGAAAGCTTCAGAAAGCCACGTAGAGCTGGAGGGTTGAATCCAGAGTTACGGACTATGATTCAAAATCTACAACGGCAGTTGGAACAACAGAGGCAAGACACGGAGCATCAAAGGAAAGATGCCGAGCAGCAAAGAGCAATACTAATGGCACAACTGGAGCGACAGAGGCAAGATACAGAGTATCAAAGGAAAGACGCAGAGCAGCAAAGGGCAGTGTTAATGGCACAACTGGAGCGACAGAGGCAAGAATCGGAGCAGCAGTGGAAAGACGCAGAGCAACAGACGGCACTGCTAATGGCACAACTGGAACGACAGAGGCAAGAGTCCGAGGAGCACAGGAAAGAGGCAGAACAGCAACAAAGAGAGCTCGTACAACTGCTGAAAAGGCAATGATCCACGCCCGAAATTCTCATTCTGAAACTTCAACGACAATCGGGCAATCGAAGGCTTCTGATAATCAACACTGCCATTATTGGCCAAAATCTATTGGGTGCTCTGAACGATTCAGAATCCTCGCAAGATGTGAGGACATTCAAAAACATAATCCTATGTTTGTACAGCTCCATTGCCTTTAATTAACAGCCATCTGTGAAGATGCTTGAGAGGATGATATTCTAGAGACACCTCATCTGGGGCGCTCAGATTACCATTATTCCTAGTTCTCCTAGGTGTTGTTCGCGTTTTTAACATGTTGTGGCCGGCTGCATTTTTGCCTCCTAGATCGATGTGCTCATGATATCTCCTGGAAAGTGGGTTGTGTAAAGTGGGGAAGATGTTAGTGGTGAGTACTTGACCCTAGTCAAGATCACATGGCCATATTTCCCTCAGATCACCTTCATCCCTTATCGGTTCATCGTCATCAGGGTCTTTATTAGTTAACACCGCTTCCAACATGTTTGCAAACATTTCCCGATGAGCAAGCGGCGTCGTTTCCCAATCCCCAGGAAGGAGCCATCCATCGGAGGCGGTGTTGAGCAAGCGTGACAGATCGCATTTCAGTTCGTGCGCGGCCAAAAAACTTTTTGTAGTTTTGCTGATGAATCGCAAGTTCTTCAGGAGCCGGCCTTGCCAATGGACACGTCTGGCCTAGCTCCTCCATTCTCGCCGGAAGTGCGTCGCACTTCCGCAAATTTCGGGGTTCCATTCTTGATGGAAGTGCGTCGCACTTCGGGCAAAGTGCGACGCGATTCCACGTGACTTCGCGTAACCCTAGAGTTTCCTTGGGGTTAGAGCGTGTTTCTGGGAAGTGCGACGCACTTCCATATAAACCCCTTAATTTTGATAAGAACGATAGTTATCACACGTGATCAACCATTTAGCTATATCAGAAACCCATAAGCACACGTCATAGCACGCGTAGGAATTCGTCAAATCCGTTAAGTTGAAGCGTTGCAGGACACATAAACTTGCTAGTTACTCTATGGAGGAGTCAGTAATAGCTCATGATGAGCTTCTCCGCTCACTTGGATTGGTAATTGGTAGTCCAGAGCGCGTCTTGATCTGCACGCATAGTTCTTGTGGCTATGCACTCCAGGTGCATGGCAAGCGAGTGAGCCGCCATTTATGTGAAAAGCATCAGATTCCAAAAGCGTCACGTCGTGGTCTTGATGGTCTTGTCGCGTCCTTGAATCTCCGTGATCCACGACTGGTTGGCCCTCGCCCCAATGACTCGGCACCCCATCCGCATCTCCAGATGTCTCATGGTTACCATTGTCGATTTTGTCACTATCTCACCGCTAGCTCTAAGTCATCCCACCAACACCGTTGTTTTTCAGCCGATTGGAGTCATGCGACCACAAGAGAGCAGGACCGTGACTGCACGGCGGAGGTCCTGCTACAAAGCTGGGTCAGGGAAGGCACTCGCACCTATTGGATTGTTCAGCTTGAGTCCCCTTTACCTCCGCAGTCCGTTTCGGGTCAGATTGGTGATGCTCGCCAGGGTCAAGGGTCTCGGAGAGAACCTTCTCATCTGGAACGGCTGTGCCAGGCGGAACAAGTACGGCTACTGGAGCATCGAGAGGCCACCAGAGACGAGGATTTGCCCGACTTGGCCACCATCAGTCCCTGGATGAGACGCACTCAGTGGCTTGAAACATATCGAAGAGCAGAACGGAGCATGCTGGTGCGGATGACTGCTTTGCCCGATCTCGGCTCGCGAAGAAATGGCCGTGACTTAGGAACATTTAATGGCACTTCACTCAGCGTTTCTGCTGCCGATGAGAGACGAATTAGTATGGTCCTTCAAGCGATCGAAGAGCTTTATGCTCACTGTGAAGAGACAGTTCAACACACCGCCAGACCGATTTTGTGCAAGCTGTACTCTCAATCCCTCCACGGTAGCTCCCAGCGGCCTTTTCGACTGGTGAATCGGCCTGCCAGTCGTTCAAAGTATCTTCGTCCGGTCAAGAAATTGTTCTCCTTTTTGCTTACAATGTACTTGATGGACCAAGAACAGTGCCATTTGGCCTTGAACTTTTATCTGACTCGTACCCAGCGAAGGGCCATTCATCGACTATGGGATGACTCATGTTGGACCTCTCATGCCGAGTCTCCTCAGGACATACCATTATCCCTGTCAGACGAAGATAGTATCGATGAAGAAGATGGGATCTCAGAGGAAGAACTCGAAGACGACCTAGAGGGAGATGAGCCAGAAGAGGAGGAGGTCGATACATCATCAGTCAGTGCGATGAGCGTGGATACCTTACCCTTAAAGGAGGATCTCATTGAACCACATAACTCTTCTCTACTCGATCAAGTTGTAGAATTGGTTCTAGAGCTCAGCGTCTTTTTGGCCATGGAGGAATTCTCAGAGGGTCGACCAGCATCCACTCTCCTGGTGTACTTCAGCGGTATACTCGGAATGTCCCCTGATGGCACTTCTTATCACAAGATCCGAAACTACACATCCAACCTCGCGGCACTAATCTACTATCAGCGATTGATCTTCCTAGAATGGGCATTGCCATATCGTGCCTACCCTTATCTTGGCCGAAGCAGAAGACCTTCTAGAGACCACGTTGCGGTACTCCAGCCAATTCGAGCGAAGTATACCTGCTTTGGGTGTCTGACTCCTTTGCCTGAGTTCATCTCTCTTCTTTCGTTTAGTCGCACCGTGGCGCACACGGATGGACCCAGCTTTCAGTGCTTTTGGAGCGACGACGGGCAGACAATCTCCTATGAGAATCAGTCTCTCCATATGGACCAGTTCCGGTCATTCAGTCACTCTCTCGTCAAACGATGCCGTCAACTATGCACGAAATTGATGTACGACTGGGAACCACCAGTCCAGCTCAGCCAAATTCGGGACAACATGAGTAACGTCCAGCGCGGATATTCTTTCGTTCACCACCCTGCCAATCATTTGTCCGACGTGCATCTTAAACTATTTCAACGAGTATGTACCTCCACTGAGAATGGTCTGATGCGTAATGACCAATGGGTTCTTGCCGCCGTCCGGCGATTCCTTGATGACGTTGACGAGCTGCTTCGCGTGTTTTGCTGTCTTTTCTTGACAACCGGAGGAGATGACGTTCGAGCTGTAGACTTATTCACCCTGGAGTGTACCAACAGCCCTGGTAACCGGCGTGGAATCTACGTTTGGAATGGTCATCTAATTACCTTCACTCGGCATCACAAATCTCGCCACATTGTTGATCGCGACTTTCAGATTATCCGAAAACTACCGGACGCCGTGGCCAGGCTTTTCTTTTACTACCTGGTCTACATTCGTCGAGCAGCGGACATGGTCCGCCGTGAGTGTAAAATGGGTGGTAACAACGGCAATTTTTTGTTCTCCACGGGCTCCCGCGTGTGGACGGCATCGGACCTTACACGAATTCTCCGCCAGTACAGCCAGCTGTTCCTTCAGCAGCCAATGAGCAGCCGACTATATCGACAGGTTGCTATTGCTATTATGGAAAAAAAGGTGCCTGACCTCCTTCAGCCAGTCGATATCCACGGTGATACTAATCCTATCCAAGAGGACCCTATCCAAGAGGACCCTATCCAAGAGGACCCT